CAAGAACCTGTTTAAAAAGCAATTTGAAAAATAGAAGATATTTCACTAATTGATTTTAGCCATTAATTGACCACGAAAAAACAAAAAATCAACTTAAACTGAATAAAAAACTCATAAATTTACAGCTTTAGTTTTTCATGACTAATGGACGCTGTTTCTGAACTAATAAATATAATCTAAAAACCAAGACTCTAAGTATAGGCTCTATTATGAATTAGTCCAAAACCTTCGACTTTTCTCCCTTGTGAGCAGACATTGGTCCTGCTTCTTAACCAACAATTCCGCAAACAAAAAAAACTACTATCGGTACGTGAGTCAACCTAACCATGCAGTCACCGACCCACCGACACCTAAAAAAATAATTAGTTTTTACTCTACTTTTGATCTTTTAGAATAATGTAACAAAGACACGCCAGTACCAATGACTATGCCACAAAGAATTTTTTCAAAACACTTAATCAGCGTATAATTACTTATGCGAATAAAAAAAATTCACGTTTGTAAAATCCAGAAAATCTATCTGCTAGCGCGGTGTAAAAGACCATCCACGCAAAAAGTCCTAAAAAAAACATCTCGGTTTGTGGGCGCTTCTCCAAAATACCGATTTAAAGCAGTACAAATAACAAAAGTTTCAACTTAAACAACCATAATAAAAGAAGAAAAGAAGAAACAAGATACTGGTCGAACACATTCCCTGTATTTAATATTAATATATTTATTCACCACAAAAAGTATCGCAAGCAATAAAACAAAAAAAAAACAAGCTTCTTAACCTGACTAAATAATGCTTAGTCATGGTTGGATATAAAACTCATGCCCACTCTACAAGTATGCACACACCAAAGACACGATATAAAACAAAAGCTGACAACAAAAAACTGCTGCATAAAACAACCTCTTCCTGGTCTACTCTCCAACACGTTGATGTAAACCATAATAAAAAACCTTAGAAAAGGAGCAAAACGAATGAATCATCCAGGTCTCGAGAAAATTAAAACTAGTGCCAGTGACCTACCTCTATTAACAGAAAACGACGAAACTGAATATTGATTGCTTATGATATTATAATCATCTTTATTACATGAAACAGTCCTTCTCTCTCTTTCTCACATCTTTTCTTTCTTTTTTTCTTTATTTCACACATCTGAAGTTTCGCTAATTTAAAAAAGAATTAAATCGGGAATGATAATTGTCTTAAGCGTCTAAGAAAACAGATACATTGCAGAAATAAAAATCAAAACTGATAACCAAACAAAAAGTGACAACCACGTTCACATCTGCCAAAAGAACTTTGATAACCAACAGGATGTTAATAGGATAAGAACAATTAACGACGAATGCAATGTTGCAACCAGTCAAGAAACCTGACATACAAAACTTAGATGATGAAAATGAAACGGAAGTGAAGAAATCAGCAACCACAAAACCTTTCTGTACGCGTCTTTAAACTCCCTTTAACCTTAGACATTAAGAGAAATTAGAAAACCGTCATACAACTTTCTACAACCCTCGTCAAGTAAGAATATAATCAAGATTTTTATCCAGTCAAAAATCTCCGCTGGTCACTTCATTGCTGCAGTCAAGACACATCAGCCAAAGACAACCAACAACGGCTTTGTTCCAGATGTCTATCAAAAAATTTCAATTGTGCATTATATCATCAACCCCCAGCGTCGAACACACGGGCAAGATAGCGCTTCAAAAAATTTACTATAATTGCAATTAATCGTTTTAAGAACAAATATTCAAATAACGTCCACAATAGCACAATATTTATTTCTGACTTAACTAGAATGCTTCACAACCACTTTTTCCCTATCGTTTTCTGTCAGTTAAGCGGTGTTTCCAGTTAAAACCTTAATTGCGAATGAAGCAATCCGAAAGACATTTAAGCTGTAGTTGCAGAAACTAGTTCCTAGCTTTAGCTGCCACTCATAACCGATAGCAATATCGTCTACTTCGATTATGAAAACTTTGCTGTTTGCCGGTCTTTTTTTTTGCGTTTTCATTTCGTCGTCGCCCTTTTTTTATGCTTCTGAATTATCGTTTATCCATCCGGTTAATTCAGGGTTAAACTTTATGTTTGCTTCATTCCTTTAAAACTCTGACATACCTTATTCCGCCAATCTTTAATCTATTGGAAACCAATACCAATACCACCGTTAAAATCATCAACATCATCATTGCCACCATCACCGCCATCACCAACATAAAAAAACGAAAACAAAAGTGAACGAGAACCTGTTCTTTGCTTGCACAGAAAACCCATTTTTTGACGATTTCATAAAGATTCAAACACTAAATTGTTGGGACCTCTTGCCTATTTTTTTTTAGCTTACTTACTTTTTTTACTTCTCTCAAAAAAATTTTTCAGCAACAGTTTATTTTGGCATTTTACTGCTGAGTGATATTCCGGCAGCAAATAGCCAGAATTGGATTGTTGGCGATGATTTTTGAAAACATTTTGGTTTTTTTTTTTTTAAAACAAGTATATATATAGGATTTCTTCTTTGACTCATTATGTTTTCCACTCTATCATCTTCCTTCTTCTTCGTTTTATCAGTCTTCAGCGAAAAGCTGCGAAAGAAAAAGTCAAAATCATTTTGGCAGATAAAGGCCTATTTTTCCTCCAACATTTTTGTGTTTCTACTACTGAAGCAATTCTAACTTGTTTTCGCCAATATATTCCCCCATTTTCTCCATTTTTTGTTTTGTTTTCCTGCTGTCAAATGTGATTGATTAAAATTGCCAGGCACTGTCTTTTAAAATTGCTTTTAAAAATTTTAATAAAGTGAAGGAATACAGCAGGCAAATATGTTACCTGTTCTTCCCTAATCATCCATTTCGTTTAGTAATTTCAGCTTCTTGATAGCACTGCTCGATGAGAGCCACATTTTAAGCTCCAGCACTTTTCTTATTAGTGCCAACTCAGCAAACCGCTTAGTTAATTCAGAAGAAAAGAAGAGATTTTTAGCCTTCAGTTTCTCCGAAATAAGATTTTCAACGTACATCACCTTCTGTATGCAACTACATATATAATTGCATTGATGCGGAAGGTTTTTCTTTCTGTGCAAATATACTTTAATTTTTAATTCATTGTTTATAGGGTTATAGGGTAATGGGGGGTTCTATCTTAGAATTCAATCTTTAGCAACATATTTTGACCGTTTTAGACTGACAGAAAAAGTTTAAAAAGCTGAAGAGTCTTGTAGAAAATGATTATATATATACTTATATTTGTTTTACTATTTATTTATTTATGCTTATATTTATACTCACAAAAATATTTATATTTACATTTATATCCGTACTTACATTTACACTCATATTTATAAATATACTTATATTTATATGTGTATATACGTGTATATTTTTTAATTCAAATTTATCATCAAACAACACAAGTTTTCTCGGTTT